ATATATATATTTTTTATTTTCTCTGATTCATTCTTTTATACTTTTATCTTTCCTCATTCCTTTCTTTGGCTATCTTTTGATTCAATTACAAATGTTATTTTTCCTAATTTTTTGAGTTAGATGCTTAACTAATTTATGGCTCTGAAGTTTTCTCAAAGTAAAACTTTGGTTAGATCACTTAAAATATTACCTAAATTTTTATACCCTTCATTCTTTTCCCATATCCACTGTTGCAAGCCAAAAATACAGCCATAGAACTTCAAGGCAAATCCCTCACTTTGAGCAAGTATTTTGCTGGAGTGTGGTGAGATCTATTGCAGCTTGGTTCTTGACCACATGTTCTCTTAAATTTGTACTCTGTGGCTTCTGTACAACCTTAAGATATACTTTGAAGTATATTTTATATATATTCCTCTTAGTTTCCTAAAAAATGCAGTTTGTGTATTTCTAAATTTTGTTGTTACAGTAATATCTGAATATTAATATTATCCTGTATTAATTAAGCATAAGGTAAAATAAATAGTCCTTAAGTCATCTAAGACTGAATATATGAACAGAGCACCCAACGCAGGGTGCAGCTTCCTCTTCTCCTACAAACTGCTCTTAGTTGCAGTGTCTGACGATCACAAATGGTGTTGCCACAGACCTGTCTCCCTACAAGTTAGTTTTGGCCAGAGAGATCTGCTCTCCTCTCAACAATTTGCTTCTAATGTCATGGCAATTTATATCAAACTCCAGTAAAAAGCCACAGTAATTTGATTTAAGCCAGGTGTCAGCTTCAAATTAATGGCTTTCTGCCTAACTTGTGTTCAGTCATAATATTTTTTTACTTTAATTTCCATTTAGAAAGACAATTCTGAATGGAAATTAAACTATTAACATTAACAAAGCAAATAACTTTTTTAGTAAAATGTTTAACTAGATGTCTTTCTTACATAGATTTAACCAAACCTTATATTTTATCTTAAATCCCATCTCTGCCTTCTCAATATTACTATTTAATGATTTTATTTTTACAGAAATTTATCATTTTGGATATGTCAAAATATTTTTCAATTTAACATTTTATAAGGAGTCTTCTTTTCCTTAAACCCACATTCATATCCATTTAAATAAGCAGTTTATTACAGCCTCTAACGTCTAGACTCTACAATCTAGACAAATAAAACATAGAATGGTTAAAAACATGGGCTCAAATCCCAGCTCTGCCTTTTATCAGTTATGTCATCTCAGCCAAGTCATCTACCATTTCATGCATCACATGCATCAGCTTACCATTCATAGCATTTTATGGAGTTAACAGCAATAATAATATTACATCATGTATGTGATCAATAACAATTTTTTTCATAGGAATATATGAGGGTTAAATGTGATAATGAATATGTAAGGCTTAGTGATTTGCTCCTAGGAATTGCTCAGTAAATCCAATCCTTCAATAAATATGTGTTGAATACCTACTCCAGGCCAACACTCTTCCAGATCCTGAGGACAGAGCTGCACTAAGTGTTACATACAATTCTGGCTATACGGAACTTACATTTCACTTGGGAAGACAAATGACTTAAAATATATCATATAGCCAGGCACAGAGGCTCATCCTGTAATCCCAGTACTCTGAGGGGCTGAGACGGGGGATTGCTGGAGATCAGGAGTTTGAGACCTGCCTGAGCAACAGCAAAACTCTGAATTTACAAAAAATAAAAAAAAAATTAGCTGGGTGTCTGGTGTAAGCTTGTATTCCTAATTACTTGGGATACTGAGGCAGGAGGATTGCTTGAGCTCTGGAGTTAGAGATTGCAGTAAGCTATGATGAAACCACTGTACTTTACCCATAGTAACAGAGTTAGACTCTGTCTCAGAAAGAAATCTTTTTAAGAAAAAAAAATATATAATATAATATCATAACATAAACATGACAAAGAAAAATTAAGAAAGAGAAAGAAGAAGGTGGCAGCAAAAAGGTATGATGTGGTATTTTATAGACAGTAGTATGAGAAGGCCTCGCTGATGTAGTGACATGAACAGAAACTGAAATAAGCAAAAAACAGACTAGGCATCTGCCAATGTGTTTACTAACCTACGGATGATAATAATGAGTGTCTGAAACACCTTCTGCCTTCCATGTTTTTACACAGTGTTTGGGAGGCAGTGTAGGAAAACTCAGCCAGGAGAAGGTAAAGGATGGGTGGCTCAGACACCCACCAGTCTTACTACATTAGAAAGTTAAATAATTTCCCTAACATTGATTGTCTAGTTTCCTGTACTTCTGAGGATATATGCATAAAGATATGAAAATAAGAAAGGGACTACTTCGGCCCCTGTGTCCCCCAGAAAGGCTTTATGGCATTTTCACAGGTAAGAGTAAAAAAAATGGGAAGAGAAATAAATGGCCGATACAAATTGTATTGAGACAAAAGTGGAATTCTTTATGTAGGCTAAAAATGAAGTCTGGCAAGACAGAAATTAGATATTTTATAGCACACTATATAGTCAAAGACATTAACTTTTCACACAAATTAAATCAAGAAATAGACTCAGTTATAAGAGTACAGATAATTCAAAGGAAGTAACAATACCACCATAACAAGATCCATATCAATGTGCTCTCTATTCATAAATGAAAGTTATCTTTCACAACCTCTGCTTTGTGATGTTTCAAAAAGAATAACAGGATTCTTTAAATCAAGTGTATAACAATATTTACAACAAACTGAGATAATGACTTGCATATTTTAAATACCAGTACTTTAGATCAGGTTAATAGTCTGCCAGATAAACTTTAAATTTCTACCCCATAAAACCATCATATATAGGCCTTTACTCTTCTGTAGCTTCCAGTATACATGTGTTTCCATAGCTAATGTTATTAAGTGATTGGATAATCAACTCCACAGTGATGGGGGTTGAAGAAATTAGAATCTCATCCATTACTGAGGTTCATTTTATAGAAAATTTTACATAGTGAGGACTATAACTTTATTTGAACGTATACAATACTACTCAAGCTTATATCTGCATCATTATTTCTTTCCTGTCTTTAGTCGCTCTATTTAGATTTAGCTAAGTCTGTAGACAATGCAAATATCTGGCTAGCTAGAGAAATGGGGCATCAATATTTCTGAAACCCAGGCAGATTTCACATCTGTAATCCTAGCATTTTGGGAAGCCAAGGCTGGAGGATAGCTTGAGGTAACAGGAATTTGAGACCAACCTGAGCAACTTAGCACAACCACACCTCCACAAAAAATAATTAGCCTGGCACTGGTTGCACGCCAGTAGTCCCAGCTATCCAGGTATCTGAGACAGGAAGATCACTTGAACCAGGAGTCTGAGGTCACAGTGAGGTAAGATGACACCACTGGACTGTAGTCCAAGCAACAGAAGGAGAATGTGACTCAAAACAAACCAAATCAAAACAAAAACCTTATCTGTGAAATCCTATTTGTATATCTTGCCTAACTCATCCTAGGTAAAAAGTATCTTCTTGCACTAAATTTTATTCATACTAGCATATACTGGAATTGAAGTTCATATTTCCACATACACAACTGAGTACATAAAACTCTTATACTTTAGATGCTGGAGGGAGGGCAATGATGAAGAAAAAAAGAGGTGTCAAAGACGACACCTGGATTTGCAGCTTGAGAAGCCAGGTACTTCATGGTATTATTTCTAAAAAAGGAAGAACAAATTTTACAGTTAAAGGTGATAAACCCAGTTTGAGTTAAAACCTAGAAAAATCTGAGTTTGGGGAAAGATAAATCGGATTTAGAAATATAAATTTGCAAGCAGTTAGTGTGTAAACAGAAAATAAAGCAATGAGAATAGGTTACTTAGAATTCTGCAAAATGACAGCACTCATTTATAAGGCAAGGCTTTTCTTTTTTTCCTAGAGAAAAAAATGTGACAACTTACTAAGGAGATTTGTTATGGTTTTTGGTAATTAAGGTGGTAAATAAATAAATAGAAAAAATATTAACAACAAATAAGCTAATTTCATAATTCTAAAAAAGTTCAAGAAGGCCAATTCCTTAGCTGGAAAATTAAAATGTTCAGCAACAAACTGTCAAAATCTTGTCAGAGAAATAGTAAAGCTTAGTTCGTCAGTGAAGAATTAGTACAAATACAGACATTATTTTCTATACTGACAAAGGGAAATATAATTGTTTTTTAAATTCCCAATTAGCTAAATCCAGATTACACACGAGCATTCTTAGAACTGGCACTTACTTCAAATTAAAAGCCATCCCTGGATATACAGAAATCAAATCAGAAAGGATTAACCTATCAAGCATTACAGCGTTCCCATTTTTGCACAGTTGTTTGTGTTGGCCTGAAGAAAAAGGACTCTTGCCATCCCAGGCAATTACTGAAACATGGAAAGGACTCGAAACTAAGTCAGCGCCACTGCTGCGCTTTCCCCATACCCGCTCCCCCCTCACAGACCTCTTAAAGAACATCAAAGTAATGTGAACAGGTAAAATGAACTAAAGCAGGATCTCATCCAGCTACCCATTCACATACAGAAGTTATCATTTACTGCTTTTGTAGAGTAGCACAGCTTACAAAAGCTCTAATATCTTACAATACATTATAAACATCCAAAGTTAAATTCTAATACATTCCTAATTACTGGACACTTTGCATTATAACCCCTACAAATTACAATCCTTTATAACCTGAACCTTTCAAAGTATGACCCTGACAAAGTAAAGAAAAGCTACAAATCTTTAAAAAAAAAAATAAAACTGAGAAAGAAAAAAATAAGAAAACCTAGGCCATGTGCATCCTAGCAAATACTGAATAAAAAAGGAAGCCCATTTGATAAAATCAAGGAAATTCCATGCTTTAATTACATTAGTGCTAGATGTAACCACAAAACCTTTTGTTTCTGAACTACTAGCAAATAATTTAAGAACTTTATGAATTGCAGAAAATGTTAACTCACGAGTATTCTTTTAAAACAAACAAAATGAAGAGAGAATATTTGCACTTACCTTAGGAACAGGATTCAGCAGAACCACCCCTGATTTCTTGGTGATGACCTGTTTTGTTGTGTAGTGATGCTCTATTAGTTGAGGGATGTTTGAAAACCCAGTGCCCTCGAATCGATACAGGTTCTAGAGAGAGAAGAATAAGGTAGAATCAACGTGAAGTCATGGCTTCAGGAAGGCTATATCCATCCATAAATTACATCCCATTGAAGAAAAACTATCACTGCTCCACAATGTGAATATTCTTCCCACTACTCAAATATACAGTTAAAAATGGTTAAGATGGTGAAAAATAAAATAGAGAACTAAAACTCTGACATGTTTTAAAAATCTACTTTTTGACAGAGAAATTAATTTTCACAATGATAATATCCAATTAAAATTGTTTTAAAAAGAACAAAATTAACAAATGGACCTGAAATTCACTTTGCTAAAATGATAACCACAGGAAGCAAACATGGGATATATCTGAGTTGAGGAACAAGGAATATGTTTATGTATATCAACATTTATGTTCCCTTTCATAAAATTTTCAATGTCAATAATAAAGCCAAAAGTTTAGGAATGTGTATTCAATACAAAAGTAAATATTTTAATGCCTCTGATCATTTATATCCTACATATTACTACAGCATTAGTTGTTTTTCTATACTGGAGTTTTTGTGCATTATTCATTTCCAAAATGCTCATTCATATACCTTTGATAAAGGAAAGAAATACGCCAGCAACAAAACTGCAAATATCAACACACTCAAATAGCAGCCCTTTTTCATTTCAAATCAGGAGGTAAGTAGCATGTCCCCCAAACTCTGCCAAGACCCCTTTCCTCTGTCTCCGTATATCAAATCAGCCTGTGGGCAGGTTATCACGTGGCAACAAATGCAACCAACCTTGCAATGCAAAGTAATTAAAGCTTCCATCTGAATTTTCACAAAGAGCTCACCTGTACATACAGAGATGATATGCATAGACACAAACATGGGTGTACTCCACCTACTTTCAAAACTAAATTTGAATATTTTTGTATTACTAGATTATTTTCCCAGTTAAAAGTTCAAAAAAATAGCTTAAGTTCCTTTTCCATACTAGATATTAACATTCAACTTACCAGACTTTACTTTATATACAACTCTATTTGCTGTCACCCTGGGTAGAGTGCCCTGGCATCACAGCTCACAGCAACCTCCAACTCCTGGGCTCAAACGATTCTCCTGCCTCCAATTCCTGGGCTCAAGCAATTCTCCTGCCTCCACCTCCCAATTAGCTGGGACCATAGGCGCCTGCCACAATGCCCAGGTTTTGTTTTTTTTTTTTTTTGGTTGCAGCCATCATTGTTTGGCGGGCCCGGGCTGGATTTGAACCTGCCAGCTCAGGTGTATGTGGCTGTCACCTTAGCCACTTGAGCCACAGGCACCGAGCCTATATACAACTCTTTAAGTGAATATTTTTCTATTTTGTCAAGTAAACATGGTAGTTTACTTTATAGAGTATAATTCCACTCAACGCAGTTAGTCAATTCAGGGAGGTTGTTAATAAATTGCTTAAAGAACTTTTGTACATAGTAGCCAGAGCTGCAGTGATATATCAGCACTGATCCTTAAAATATTTCACACTGCAGATACTAATATATTTAGTTCTAGATATGCAGAACTCTGAGCAAGAGCTCTCAGTGTCTCCACTTATTCACCAGAGAAGCAGAGGTGAATTTGGACCTCCTTATAGAATAAGGGTGAGGCTTGACTAAGTACTAATATGCAAACCAACTTGCCCAATGTATATAAATAGTATACACTCAAGTGTTAAATCACCGGATGAGTAATATACGAAAAGAAATATTTTCAAAGAACATTTAAGTATAAATTACAGCTCATCAAGGAATAATGACTATCTGTAAATAATTCTCCTAGGAGGCATTCTTATACAAAATTAAGACATGAAGAAATGTAAAAGGTCATACGAGTGTTAGATGTGATAGCAACAACAACAACATTTAGACACAGTATAGACACAGTAGAGTGTTCCTCCTTTTCTCTTCCTTCATTCTACTCTTAGACAGCAGTCAGGGGATCCTGTTATAACAGGTCATTCCATCACTTTGCTCAAATTCTCACCTCCCTCAGAATAAAAACAAAAATCCTTACCATGGTCTATAAAAGCCTAGTCAATCTGTCCCCATCATCTCTCTTACCTCATCTTTTACCACCACCTCAGTCACACTCATCTCCTTCTTGTTCTGCAGAGACCCTACATACACTCTGTTTAGGGTCTGTTTTGCTGCATGAATTAATTCCTAAGACAGCTATATGTATTATCACTTCCTTACTTCTTTTGAGTCTTTAATCAAATGTGACCTTTAAGTGAGGTCTATTTTGGCCACCCTACACAATATTCAATATCTATTTTATCACCCTAACTAAATTTCTTGCCTCTTCTCCTTATTCAATATTTCTCCTTAGAACTTATCATTATCATTATATATAATATAGATAATACAATAATGTACACATATATTATAGACACCCTGTTTATATCAAACTATATGTATATATCAAACTATCATCATATATATCATTTATCTTTTTTTATAACCTATCTTGCCCAGCAGGAACGTAGGCTCATGAGGGGATAAATATTATATTTGTTTTGCTCAGTACATGGTCTAGAACATTGCCTAGCATATATTTCTTATATCAAAAAAAGTATGAATGAATGAAATTCAATGCACATAAAATGACTGTGAAGTCAAACAAATAAGATAATGCATTCTGGAAAGTTCACACACTCACACAGGCAATCAAGATGCTACTTAATAAAAGATAACAAATGAATAGATATTTCTCAAAAGAAGACATGCAAAAAGGTATATGAAAAATGTTCTTCACTAATCATTAGAGAAATGCAAATCAAATCCACAATAAGCTATCATCTTACCCCAGTTAGAATGGCTATTACCAAAAACACAAAAATAACAGATCCTGGCAAGAATGTGAATAAAAGGGAACTCTTATACCTTGGTGGTAGAAAGGTAAATTAGTACAAGCATTATGGAAAACTATATGAAGATTTCTCAAAAAATTAAAAGTAGAACTACCATAGTATGTTAAATCCCACTACTGAGTATTTATCAAAAGACAAGGAGATCAGCATATCAAGGGCAGATCTACACCCCCATACTTAGCGCAGCACTATTCACAATAATACAGATATGGAATCAACCTAAGTGTTAATGAGAGGATGAATGAATGAAGAAAACACGGCAAATATGCATAATGAAACATTACTTAGCCATGAAAAAGTATAAAATTCTCACATTTGCAGCAACAATGGGTGAAACCTAAGATAATTAAGTTAAAGGAAATAATCCAGGAACAGAAAGAGAGATGTTCTCATTCACACAGGAACTAAAAGGTGGAGGGTAGAATAATACTTATGAGAGGCTCAGAAGGGTGTGAGGGAGGTAGGGAGACGAAGAAAGGTGGGTGAATGGTAGAAACATTCATTAGATAGAAGGAATACATTCTAAAGTTCTACTGCAGTGCAGGGTGACCAAAGATAACAACAATGCATTGTGTATTTCAAAACAGCTACAAGAGAGAACTTAAACGCTGCTAACACATGGAGATAATAAATACTCAAGGTGATGGATGCCTTAAATACCCTGACTGGATTATTACACATTCTGTACATATGACAAAATATCACATGTGTGACCTAAAAAGGTACAAGTATTACATATCAATAAAAAAAAACCCCAAACAGCAGTGAAATGAAATTCACACAGAATAAAACTTCAAGTTGGCTTCTCATGTCACAATGTCTCGTGTAAAATTTTAACACATCACTTTAGCTACAGAAATACTGAATAAAATAAAGGGAATTTTCAGCTTTCCTTTCTTAATTTAAGAACATATCTAGTTATTTATTTAGTTATTATTAAAGCAATTCTGATAGCAGTGAAATTCTGAGAGTCTTAATTCAGTGTAAATCCAATTAACTCAACTTTCTTAAAGATGAAGTACAGCAACATTCTAAAACGATGCTTGTAAAGTTCATCTAAACAAAAGGCCTAGGATGGAACATTCACTAAAACTGTTCAGGACTTGTTTATTGATACACTCAAAATCCCAAATATTTCTTTTGACCTTGTGCAGATCTCTATAAATTTCTTGTAACCATAGCTGACCTAAAGACGGGCTCTTATACAGATAGATTTTTTTTTTAAGTTCTTCTACATGGCTTTAACAATAATGGAACAGAGAGGCAGACTAACTTTTAATTAAAAGACTTCTCGTATTAGGAACTAAGGTTCCTAATAAACTCTTAGATGAATTCCAAAATAAGCACTGAAAAACAACAGCAAAAAACAAATTTCTACAAAGACAAATTTTTATTGTCATTTGTATTACATTTCAACTATCACGTACTATACTACTAAAATATAAATAGAAAATAAGGTAAGATTCAATTTGTATAAACTAAAAAGTACATAGATATATGTGATTAGCATAGATACAAAAATTTTAAAGAATATATACTGATCCCATAAAGTCCTAATATGAAGCACATATTTTACGATTCGTATTTCTGAATTGTTACCATATACTACTTTTGTTTGTAAAACATTTACTGCATCTAGAATTTGTTTCTGAGTTAACACTGTGCTACTTAACAATCGATCATGCATACAGATAAAAAACATAAAAACCAGAATTATATTTTGTTGCTATATACATTTCCAGGGAAATGATTATACAAGGAAGGCCAACAAAATGGAATAAGCACACAAAAACAAGGAGGGATTCAATGAATGCTTAACTGTAAATAAAAAGCCTGAGTAGGGCTCTTGAAACAAAAATACCAGGTTAGTTCAGGATAAGCAGGCTTAATAAAAAAAAAAAAAAAATGGAGGGAGAAAAAGATGAAATAAGGAAAAATATGAAAAGGGCTGAGACACAAAAGGCTAAAATACAAGTAAACCTATCTGACAGATTAGGACATTAAGCTTAGCACATGATAGATATCCAGTAAATATCTGTCAAATTCTAATACATCAAACTACCCAATTTCAGATTATATTCACAAATTATTCATAATTATAACCTCCATTTTTGTTTTATTTTATTTTACTGGCCCATATCCCTGAGCCTTAGGTAATACTCACTAAGAATTTCCTAAATAAATTAATGGATAAAAGATGCCATCACATGGAGAATTTTTCCCTAAAGTTTTATTTTAAAATGCGTTATTATGTTGTTCTTTTAATTTATCATCATATGTTAATGTAGATTTCATAGCTTCATCAATCAATGCTATTTCTGCATCTTTACTATTTCATTGCTCACAAGTCCTACTAATGCATTAAACACTAGGTTTTAAGTTTACTGAGAAGGGCTATATTTTTTTGCAGTTTCATCTTCTATGTTGCATAATATGACACTCTATGAAAATGGGTCTTTAGGAAACAATTGTTAGATAAATAAATAATAAGAAAAAATACGAATTGGCACTTTTTATTAATAGAATAAAAAGTACATTCTGAAGTTCTTTTGTTTTATCATATACAAATATAAGGATTTGATAATATACTTAGTTATCAAATGAAACAAAATTATTTGAATCACCATGAAAATCTTTCACCAGGTATGAAACAAAATTATCAGCTTTAGGCATAAACTTTGAATATAGTTTTACATGAAGGACCATTAAAAAGCTAGTAACTATGGCATAAGTCAGTAAATAACAACTCAACATAGTTCAGAAACTCTTAGATATGCTTAATAATTTATTTTATAAAATCAATGCATTCAGCATGCAATAAAAAGTATACTTCTTGCCTAAACTAGTTAAAATAACAATTATCTATTCTCTACTAGAGAGGTAAAAAAATGTAAAAATGTTAAATATGTGTTGATATTGATTGCCTAAAATAGTCAAGGATGCAAATAGTTTTGCACCATGTTAAAAAGAAACTGTGACAGCCACACAAAAGCAGGGCTTCAAAATAACTGCCATCCTAGACTCTAGCTCCCCATGTTGTTAAAACTAACCTTTGTAAAGTCAAAGTTAAATACATAACAGAAACATAATTTTCGTAACTATGGTATTTAAATTTCACAAATAAATCCTACAGGAACCAAAAAGAAATTTCAAAAGTAACTCCTCCAATTACAATAATGTTTCTTACAAAGTGCATTTTTTTCCTCAAAGCCATCAAATGATGATAAAAGGCCTAGTATGCGCTTAGTGCTTCACATCATGCAAAGTATATATTCACAGAGTTCATTCTCTCAAAACCTCCACAGAATATTACCCCCATTATTTCGTAAACCACAGAGCATGCAAAGGGCAGAGCTAGAACTGAGACTCGGGACCTCTGACTCCAAGCCCAGTGAATGCTCTTTTCATTGATCCACTTTTTGATAATTGTTCTGTTTTCTGAAGTCCCATATTACTTTATGTCTTCCTCTCTAAGAAAACTTGTCACCTTATTCAAATGCCTTCATTAGAATATAACAGACACCCATTAAACATCTGTTAATGAATATTTATTGACTCCTTCTGGGCAAAAGGTATATCAAGAAAGAAAAAGGATAATTTTAGTTCATGGAAGATTCGCCTGCCAAAATCGAAAAAAATTAAAACCGTCTGTATCACCTTAAACTCCTATTTTCAACTCCTTGAGGAATCAACATTTTATAGTGAAGCTCCCAAAATAAACATGAGGCAGTAGAAAACCTGAGGCATTTACTAAAAAACCAATTCTCTCATCTTTAACAGAGATGTCTGAAAACTGCAATGGCAGAAGGAAATCGGATAAAAGCTTCAAAGCAGGGTCTTATTTGAGCACATACTATGTTGTTCCTTTTAGCTACTGAAAACAAAATGGCAATATTAAAAACTAGTTGTCCCTTTCCTTTTTGTTTCTAAGAAAACAACTTGTTTCTAAGAAAACTAATTTAAATTCCTATAGTTACATTTTAAACTAGAAGTGATAATATGGTAAAACATCTCAGTCTTATTTAATGTATGACATATTTCAAAAATAGTAATTTTTAAAGCTTAAAAATAGAATAAAACACTCACCTAAATTATAGTTAACAAGTTTATACTTTACCTGTCATTCTATAGTTCTCATACCATTTTATAAATATTGCCATTATGGTCACGAATTATTATCTACCTCCGTAACGTAAAGGCGTACACAAATTACAAAAGAGTTTCCCAAGGAAATTATGACATAATACTACATCTAACAAATTAGATCTATGAAAATGAGCAAATATAATTACCAAATTGAGGTCCAAATACTATACAAATTAAGAAATAGCATGAAAACTCTAATAGTGCGTATACTTTAACTCCTTTTATCCCCTCTGAATGGCACCTCTTTTCATTTAACTATCACTCCTACATGTTAGTGTTCTAAAAACCACTGAAGTGTACACTTTAAGGATTAATTGTATAGTATGTGGCACCTTAAAAAAATATATCATTGATATATATACACTGAGAGATATATACAGACATAAACACATATATAGTAAAAACCTCCAGGGCTTCCACCCTGGAGGAAGCTGACCACCTCCCTATACTGACCACTTCCTTCAGCTGACCTAATTTTCACAGATTGGACATGCACCACATGTATGCATCAGTACAGTAGGCATAGTTCCTTATGTTGACCACCTCAACTTACAGAGGTTCTACTGTGTGTGCACACATGTGTGGTATGTATAAAGGTTATTATCTATAACCCCTGAGGTTCATCTAATGATCATGATTCAATCCTTCTGTAAGGCAAGTAGTATCACTATAGTACGCAGACATCAACTAACGTCCTCTGTACAGCTACCTGTATTGACAAATAGAGCCATCAATTTCATCATATGCCAAAAGCGTTTAAAATTTCTAAGTGGGTAAAAATGAAAAATTTGAAATTACTTTTCCTGTATTTAATACTCTGTAAGGAAAATACATTAAACACAGAAGTAGTTTAGCAATATTAAAATTTTAAAAATGAATTAGTATTAGAATAAACAATGTGAATAGATGATTTTTAAAATTCTTCATCAGTTTCTATTTATTGTTTATCAATGCCAATAAGCAAGAAATTATATATAAAAAGAAAAAAACCTTAATCCTATTGAATCATAAAACCAATTCAAGTATCATTGTTCAATTCATTAAGGAATTTCACTATCACAATTTGTAAGATATTTCTTTAAAATCCCTCATGGCATCATTTTAAAAGCAATTTCAAGGTCCAATTTGAAAAATATGAATTACATAAACTCTGGTTTCCCTAGAAAAAAAATTCATGATAATCACATTATTTTTTTAATCACATTATTTTTATTTTTAATTTAAAATATCTTTAGTGTTCAAATTTAACTTAACATATTTAAATAGTTATTATTTAAATTTATAATTATAAAAACTATTTTTAATCTAAAATATTTCTGAATACATGTTTATTAAGATTTAAAATGTTAGTAAATTTTGAGGAATTAAATTTAAAGAAATTGAAGTGAAAAAATTATGTGATAAGCTTTGAATTACAGGTATTTATCACAAACCGTTCATCATTTTAATAAAATCATACTATAATAAACTACATCAAAATACACATGTAAACTAAACTGGAAACGTACATCAACAAATTGTATGATAAAATGTCTCCTCTGTCCATCAGAATATACAGAAAGGACGTATTCACCAGGTTTCCCATGACTCTCTCGCACCAGGAAGTCTCCTTGTTGTTTGAGCAGATCTTGGGCTTCTATTCTGGGGATCGCACCGTGGTACCAGTCCTGCTCTGTCAAGGGCTTCTCAATGAAAGAGATCATATCACAGAGCTTGAACGAACAATAAAAAACTTAGTTAGAGACAATGGTGATTATTTTCTGGGGAAATTCACAGCAATTATGAAAACATTTACAAGTGTCCCTTCTTTTAATTAACTGATTAAAAGTTATAAGATGAATGGGAATTTTTCATAATTTCTAAAGAAATTCATTTTTTTCTGTCTATAATATATAAGCACACAGAATATTAGCATTTAGAGTTAGCATTTAGCATCTTATTTACTATGTCATAATGTAAACTCAATGTTAAAATTCATCAACAGGAGAAATTATGAAGAAAAGGAGGTATTAGCAGGGAATATACATCAGAAAACAACTTCATTTTTAAATAAAAAGCAGAATTATTCCTTTTTATTGAATCAACTCTCCCTCACATTGGCTGTGGACTGTGTGTGGCCGTGTTCCTGGAACACTGTCTCTGTATTTGATGCAGTCTTGCCGCACAACCTTCCTGTCCTTATCCCTACTCATCTGTCTTCAACTGTTACCTCTGCCACATGGCTGGTTCTGCTCCTGCCCAGCAATGGCAATAAAGCTTTGGGAGAAATGGCATCACTGAAAACCACCAGCATCCAATTACAAACACATGATAAGAACAAAGGAGAATTATAGATGAGCATGGCAGGAAAAGTAAATTATCTGTTATTTTTAAAAGGCCAAATGCTAATACCAAATGGCAAAGATAATTAAGAGCTGACTATATTTCCTTAACATGTTCTAATTAACAGTAGAACTTTAAAGCATAAATCTATTTTTAAATATTTTTTCTCTGCATTGATTACAAGGGATTTTAAATTTCAGAATATGGTGGTATAAATATTTTGGTTATATAAATTGCTCTTGTACAGCTGGGCGTCCATAGCTCAGTGGTTAGGGTGCCAGCCACATGCACCAGTGCTGGTGGGTTTGAACCCTGCCTGGGTCTACTAAACAACAACAACAACAAAATAGGCAGGCCTTGTGGCCGGCACCTGTAGTCCCTGCTACTTGGGAGGCTGAGGCAAGATAATCACTTAAGCCCAAGAGTTTGAGGTGGCTATGTGATGTGACACCACAGCACTCTACAGACGGTGACAAAGTAAGACTCTATCTCAATTAAAAAAAAATTAATTAATTAAAATAAGTTGCTCTTGTACATTTTAAGTCAAATTTATAAGTGCCCCCTCCCTTGGATACATGTGCACTGTACCCACTAGGTATGAACTTACCCCTCCCATCTCTGCCCCCTCCCACCAGCTTGGCTTCCTTAAGTTTTACTATCAAATGTGCAGGTGGGTGTTGATTAGGGTGTTGATTTGTATTTTCCTGATGTATACGCCCAAGTGTAATAGGGCGTATACATGATGTTTATTTTTCTATTTTTGCAAAACGTCACTTAGAAGAATGGTCTTCAGTTGCATCCAAGTTGTTAGAAAGGTTAAGTTCGACTTTTTTACGGCTGAGAAGTACTCCCAATCGCATTTTCTTACTCCACTCGTGTACTGACGAGCACTTGGGTAGCTTCCACAATTTTGCAATTGTGAACTGTGCTGCAATAAATATTTAAGTATGTATGTCCTCTTGATAAAATTATTTTTTTCCTTTGCATTTATACCCAATAATGGTAGGTCTACTTTTAGTTCTTTCAGTTAGCTCCATACTAACTTCCACAGACATTGCACTAGTTTGCAGTGCCACTAACAGTACCTAAGTGTTCCTTTCTCTCCACATCCACACCAGCATTTGCTGTTTTGATAAAAAGCTATTCTCATTGAAGTCAGGTGATACCTCATTGTGGTTTTGATTTGTATTTTCCTGATGTTTACAGACATTGGGTATTTTTTCATATCTTTGTTGGCTATTAGTGTACCTTTTTTTGAAAAGCTTCTGTTCATGTCATTTCTCCACTTTTTTATAGGGTGGTTTGGTGTTTTTCTTACTGATTTGTTTGAGTTCTTTCTACATTCTGATTAGCAAATGTATAGAAAGCAAATATTTTCCCCCTTTCTGCAGGTTGTCTATTTACTCTATGGATTGTTTTCTTAGTTTTTAATTTAATCAGGTCCGATTTGTAATTATTTTTGTTTCTGTGATTGCCTTTGGGGTCTTTTTTCATAAATTCTTTGCCTTGGCTGATGTCTAGTTTTTCCAACATTTTTTCCTAGAGAAATACTGTAGGTTAAAGTCTGTTGTCCCTGGTAAATTAATTGTTGTGAATGGTGAGATGTGTGGGTCCACAGTATATATTGTTAGCTGCTTTGTCGTAGATTGGACAGCAATATGAGGATAGTTTTTTATCTAGGTTTTCTGTTCTGATCCATTGGTCCATGTCTCTGTTCTTATGACAGTATCATGCTGTTTTGGTTACTACAGCCTTGTAGTATAACTTGAAGTCTGATAAAGTGCTATCTCCGGATTTGTCCTTTGGCTTAAGATTTGTTTTGGCTACACAGGCTCTTTTCCGGTGCCAAACAAAGCATAGAATTATTTTTTCTAGATCTACAAAAATTGACATTTGCATCTAATGAGGATTGCATTGAATCTGTAGATCACTTTGGGTAGTACAGACATTTTAACAATGTTGATTCTGCCCATCCATGAGCATGATATATCTTTCCATTTGTTCACATCTTCTACAATTTCCTTCCTCACTGATTCACAGTTCTCCTTACAGAGCTATTTTCCCTCCTTGGTTAACTTTGTTCCTAGATTTTTTTCTTTTTTTCTGTTGCTATTGTGAAAGGTATTAAATATTTGATTGGTGGTGGTATATAGGAATACTATTGATTTGTATATGTTGATTTTGTATCCTGAGACTCTGCTCAATTTACTTATCAATTCCAGCGGTCTCTTGGAAGAATCTTTGGCGTTTACTCGATATAATATCATATCGTTAGCACAGAGTGATAGCTTGACCTCTTCTGTCTGCATTTGGATACTCATGATGTCCTTCTCTTGTCTGATGGCTCTGTCTAGAACTTCCAGCACTAAGTTAAATGGAAGTGGTGAAAGTAGGCATGCTTGTCTGGTTCCAGATCTAAGCAGGAGTGCTTTCAATTTTTCCCCATTCAGTATGATGTTGGCTGTGGATTTGTCATATATGGCTTTTATAATTTTGAGATATGTTCCATCAAGACTGTTTTGTTAAGAGTTCTTATCGTGAAAGGCTGCTGAATTTTGTCAAATACTTTCTCTGTATCTATTGAAATGGTCATAAGGTCTTTGCTTTTGCTATTATGTGGTGAATCACATTTACTGCCTTGCTATGTTGACACATCCTTGCATCACTGAGATGAAACCCATTGATCATGGTGGATTATTTTTTTGAAATGCTACTGAATTTGTTTTTGTAGAATTTTATTGAGAATTTTTGTTATCTATATTTATAAGGGATATTGCTCTATATTTTTTATTTTTCTTTTTTATTACATACTTTTCTGGCTTTGGTATCAAGGTGATACTAGCTTCACAAATGAGTTGAAAAGGAAGCCTTTCTTCTTGGTGTTATGAAATAATTTCTGCAGTGTAATATCAGTTCCTCTGTGTAGGTCCAATAAAATTTGACTGTGAAACAATTTGGTTTAGGACTTCTTTTCATTGGAAGGTTTTTTTATTGTTTCTTCAATTTTGTTACTTAATATTGGTTTGTTCAGTTCTGTTTCTTCCCAACTGAGCCCATGGGGGTTGGGTGTTTCCAAGAATTTATTTCCTCAATTTTTACTTTGTATACCAAGGTTTGTATACCATTCAAGATAATGTTTCATATTTCTGTGGTATCAGTTGTAGTATCTCCTTTTTCATTTCTAATTGAGCTTCTTATATTCTTTTTTTTTTTTTTTTGTTTCTGGTTAATCTAGCAAGAGGTCTATTAATTCCGTTTACCTTTACAAAGAACCAACTTTGTGTTTCATTAATATTCTGTATAATTCTTTTGTTATTAATTTCATTTAGTTCTGCTCTGATGTTAGTTATTTCTTTTCCTCTGCTAGGTTTTGGATTAGTTTTATCTTCCTTTTCCTAATTCCCTGACATGATTCATTATATTATTGATTGGTGATCTTTATGGTTTTTTTCTTTTATGTAGGCATTTGTCTATGAAATTTTCTTTTAAGAAGGATTTTGCTGAGTTCCAGAGGTTTTTATGATGTGTGTCCCCTTTACTTAGATTGACAAACATTTTGATTTCCATCTGAATTTCCTCTTTTACCCAGCTATCATTCAGCATAAGGTTGTTTAACTTCCATAACTTTGAGTGTAGATGAATGTTTCTGTTGGAGTTGAATTCTAATCTGATTCCACTCTGGTCTGGGAACAATACATGGTATAATTTCAATTTTTTAAAATATTTTGAGACATACTGTGACCTATCACCACAACCTATAGACATTAGACTAGCCAAAGTTAACACAAACATGGAATCCTACGAACCATAAGGCAAAAAACCCATCAGACTGATTGCAGATTTCTCAACTGAGACCTCACAAGCTAGAAGAACTGGGGCCTCATTCTCAGTCTTCCCCAACAGAATGATGGCCAGCCTAGAATGTTGTATTCTGAAAAACTAAGCTTCTTATATCAGAGAGAAATAAAGATTTTCTCAGATAAGCAAACATTGAGGGAATCTGTCAAGACCAGACTTGCCCTGCAGGAAGTACTCATCTCTACATTATACCCAGATCATCACAATAGATGCCTAGCAGCATAAACCACCCATTGCTAAAGTTTAAAGCCCAAACACTGTAATTGCTCCAGAGGTAAAACAAAGCAGTAAAGTTGAAATCAAGACGACGGACAGAAGTCTACCCTACTTGTCAATTATTTCAATAGATCTGAATTGACTGAACTCTCCTCTCAAGAGGCATAGGCTGGCTGAATGGATAATGAAATACAAGCCAAGTATCTGCTGTCTCCAGGAAATGAATCTAAACCACGAGAACTCAGTCACACTTAAGGTAAAAGGATAGAAAATATTATTCCATACAAATGCAAATATACCCTTCACAGGAACATAAGTAAAGACAGACAAAGGTGGTCATTATATAAAGGTAAAGGGAAAAATTCAACAAGAAGACATAATTCAGGTGTACCTATATTTATAAAACAAATCCTACTAGATCTATACAAAGTAATAAATAGCGACACCATAATAGCCAGTGATTTCAAGACCCCTGACACAAAGGACCCATCCTCCAAGCAGAAAATAAACAAACACAGGACTTAAATGAGACTCCAGAGCAAATGGGCCTACCAGACATTACAGAACATTCTACCCCAATTCTTATTCTTCTTATAAGAACGTGGAGCATTCTACAAGTTTAAAGCATAATTTTCGATAAAATAAAGCAAATGCATTATACATATGAAAATAGAATTGATCATAATAGAAGAACAGGAGATAATTACCTAATAGATTAATTTGCTCTTAACTGAATATTATATCTGATGCTGTCAAATGTTTAATATTTATTGTTATGATCAGGGTATATTTTAATATATCAGCTCCAAATATGTGCTCTTATTTTATTGTACATAAGTTAAATAACTTACCACTATCTCAGAGTACTGAGAACAGCCACACATGTAGCATCTTCCTATATGTAGGTGATTATAATTTTACATTAAGAACAATCTCAGAGACTTCTGCAGCCAAGGCCAGTATATACTACTATAGGCAGTAGTATCTACATAGGAGTACCTGGGTATTTGAGGGAAAAAACTCCTTTTCCAAATAAATAGGATACCTTATACCCTAGAGAAATACCTATTTATATGTTCACAGTGTATCTTGCTTGGCTAAGCTGCTATTACTAAGGATAACTAATATTCTATGTACTAATGTGATATGCCAAGCCCAAATTTCAACAATTTGTCATCCAGACTTCAATTTTATAATTAAAATGTTCTTAAAAACAAGGATACATATATAAACTAATACATTTTGACAATGCATGTATAGTAATCTCTATCATAAAAATGTTATGTTTCACTAGAAAAAAATTTGTATATTCTATATTCTATTCTCCTACTAAGGTCCCAAAGTATGTAAAATGTTTCCCATAATTATCTGTATGTAGTATAGGAAGTCTACAATATAAGTTTATTTCTGTCTTTCTAATATCAATGTTATAAGGCATTTTACTACATACATATGAACAGACTCATATGCATGCAAAAAGTTAAATTATATTGCCAATGGTAAGTACAAATTTATATATGTTATTCACTGGTACGTCCAAAAGAAGCTAGACAGTAACAATTTTCAGTAGCACAGAGTTACTCCTACTTACTGCAGAAGAGCCCAGTGTAGATTTTGGAGACCTAATTATTCCAGCAATTGAATGACGAATAGACTCAAATCTGGACAGCCTGTCCTTTCTTTCCTGGAAGGAGTAAGAAACAAGCCTTTAGCAACAGTAAACTTCCAATATACACACATTATGTACTTAGGTTTGTGTCCACAGCTTATCTATCATGTCTTCAAACCTAGTAAGTGTTAACTTACTGATATTAAGGGTAACAACCAAATACATATAAATAATATGGCACTTTATTTTCCCGGTACCTCAATAAATGTCTTTATTTGAGAATGAAAAGAAAGAAACAGAAATTCATATAAAATTCTTTAAAAATTTAATGAAACAAAAAGTAAAAATGAATTTCGTGGAAAACAAACTATTAACATGCAAAAAAGGGACAAAGTTAATAAGGAAGCAATCCAACATAGAATATTTCAGATAGCACCACAGTTGTGAAAGATTATCCAGTAAGAAAACATAATAAAGAGAAAGCAGGAAGAGATTTATATGGAACACACTGTTACAACATGAACTTGACTTAACTACCTAGGGAGTTTCCCAAGGTTCACATGGTGGTAATGGAGGGTACGGGCAGGTGAAACAGGAGGTAATGGCAGAACTCCCACTAAGAAAAGTCAGTTCAGATGGCTATTTGCTATAGAATGTATATTTCTGAATATCATATACCACAGATGAAAGGAACGTTTCCTAAAATTTCAAATCTTTAGATCCATTTTATAAAGATAAGTGAGTGGGGTGAGTAAAGGGTAGAGAAGAATACCAAAGAAGACAAAGATGAGAACGGAGAGATTAGAAGGCTAACAGGGCCAAGTATCTGGGAGGGCGTTTAACAGAAGCACTGGTCCATTTTCCAATAATGACTACATTTCGACCGTTAATCAGCTGCAGACAAACGAGAACTACTATCAACTGAAACATTTCCATGTCTTCCACCAATAGGGATGCCCAATTTTACTGGTGAAAACCCTAAAGCAGGCCACACCTAACATCTTTTGTTTCCTCTGTCTCCAATACCTAGTGCACATGTCTGTAATAGTAAATGAAGACCTTCTTGGCCACACACTACCTTACAAACATTGCAGTTCCTGAAATTCAACTGTTATTTCTCCACTTGCCTATTCACACTTTATGTACATCTATTTCTAATCATTACAGTGCTAATAGTTCTGATTATTATAAAAACATATGCTTATTAAAAAAATAATCTTAGCACAACTTTCTGAGAGAATAGATGATTTAACTTCTTTTTCATCATGATCACATCACTAATTTGGTCATGATCCTATGTAAAGCACTATCTATTACATCAATTTTATCATGTATAAAATGGGAAAAAAATAATACAAACCTTTCTCAGAGGGGCCTTACAAGTAAATTACTACAGATGATTAAAAAATTAATATCTTAAAAGTATGTACATATCTAATATAGAAAAATCTTTGTGTAGTACAAATGGCCATCACCATAAGAATGTGAGCATGCATCCTAGAGCCTTAATCCAGCCTGTAGGCCCAGTTTCACTTTTTTTTTTTGGCCAGGGACTGGGTTTGAACATGCTACCTCCAGCATATGGGGCCAGCACCCTACTCCTTTGAGCCACAGGCGCCACCCCTACTTGGGTGGTTTTTTTTAACCTATTTCTGATGCTTAAGAAGTCTTTTGAAAAAACGAACTGGTAAAATGTATAGCCAGAATATGGAAAATAAAATATTGGGGAATAAAGCATATATACAGTGTTTTACAATTAGATTTATAAAGAACATTATTATGATGGCGTGAAGCATACGTACTGAACAACACTGGAGTACCTATAGTTTTTCTATTCACTAGCCCAATTTGCCCTTTTCCCTTTAGGAAAGTTCTCCCCCTATTCTTCATGGTTTAATATTACATAATTTTACAATTATTTTACAAGATGTTCTCTACATGTTGGCCACCACTTCACAAAATTTTGTAATGAATACCTTGTAAATAAAGGTGCATTTAACACAGGTCTCATTTTCCCTGTGTATGGAGACTCTAGGGACAATTTGGGGGATACCCTGTATTGTGTGTTCAAAGGGATACAATTAGTGAAGCCATCATTTCATTTAAAGTACTATTTATATAGGTTGATCAAAAAATTTATTATCAAAAATAAAAATAATGAGATCTTAAGTTTCATACAGAAATAATTAAAATGCAAATGGGGTTTATAAAACATTTTAACCACTGCCAGCTCGGTTGGTGCTTAGATTTCTACAAATAAAACATAAAACTCTTGCCAAAGCTCCCAACTATAAAACCAGAAAGCATGTGACATTCCTCAAAGCACAACTCTTAAAGGAGGCACTAAGTTAGAGAGGATAACATTCTTAATGTCAGAAGGGATAAAAGATCTGAACCAGGGCAAATCATTTAACTACTCTGGTTCTTAGTTTCCCTATTAGTAAAAAGGAAGGCAATGGTCCATACCTAAACCTTCATTTCGAAATTTCTGTGACTACTGTCCATCCCCCAATCATTTGTCTTGCACTGGTCACTGAGGGCCCAACAGAGAGTTCATGGTGTCGGGCTGGCAATCCTAAGAGCTGCTTTTCTTAGTCACTTTCTGCCTCAGGTGCCCACAGAACATGAACCATGGGAAGGGTGAACTATCGTGAAAGGGGCCACTTAGAACACTTTTTTCATTCATAATGGTATTTCACAAAAACCAAATAGTATTTTTCACTGACTTCTGTAAATAAACCCAATCCAATAACATTCTTGGAAGGAACAATGAAAGTGATTCTTTGGCCCTGTAGGAAGAGTCACATACTTACTTGAATCAGGAGGCAATAAGAAAAAAAAAAAAAAAAAAAAAAGATAATATTCATGCTCAAACTCTAGGCTGAATGCCAAAATATCCCAGACACTTCTTATGCAAACCAGCCATAAAATATGGATGGATTTTGTGAGAAATAAGTAAAGGGAAACTATAACCCCCGAGAAGACTATCTCATGAAAAAAATTCTATGCTGTTGATGACTCCAAAATGTAAATGAAATACTGTAAATATCAGCATGTCCTTCACAAAAAGAATACATTTATAAATAAACAAGTAATTTAATCTTTTGAAGATGCTGATATACTGGGAAGAATGAAAGATACACAGTTTCTACTCCCATCAGGATAGAGAATTTAAGTATGAAAACAGTTTCTAAATGATTTATTTTAGCAATTGCATTCTGACTGAAGACAAATCATTTCAGGAGTGTTCATTGCCTAGTAACTCAGTTTGTCATGCTGTCTTATTCCTTTGATGCTTGCATATTAAGAATATTTATTAGAAGAAAGACAATTCTCTTACTAAGTCAAGCATATCCATATTCTGAAATAATGAAAATGAAAACCAAATATAAAAAAAGAATATTTGAATGATTATTAAGAGCTTGTTTTAAAATAACAATGCCAAGGAAATCAACAGTGTAATAGAAGAGTTTGGCAAGATCTCGATTATAAAATATCATAAATCAATTTTCTTACTTTCTTGTCTCTTAAAATAAGATGTCTCCAGGGAAACAAGATCCAGACAAGAGGCTACAATCAGCTCCCTTTTTATTCAATACCTAAACACAATCCCTGTTCCACGGTGCTTTTCCCAAATGTGTGACCACAATGGCTAAAGATATTATTTCTTTTCTAAGATTTTATTTTTAGAGCCTTTTTAAGTTCATAAAAAACACTGGAAGGAGCAGAGTTTCTCATATGTCCTTTGCCCTCCACACACACAGGCTCTCCGATAATCAGCGTCCACCATCAGCGTGGCACAACTGCTGTAACTGATGAAGCTGAACTGACTCATCACAATCACCAAGTCCACAGTTCACATCAGGGTTCATTTGTGATGTCGTACATCCCATGGATTTAGATGAACATTCGATGCTTTAGGAAACATGGACATCTATCCTGCTTTACAGCTTCCTGCCCATACAGGGCTTCTCTTTGCTCTCACCTCCTCCTTTACATACCCCTGAAAACAATTTACAGCCCTGATACTCATCCTCTTGCTGTAGTAAGGCCACTCCCCTAAACTCTGTGAAGGCAAGGAATTCCCTACAGAGAGTCAGCTTGGAAAGGAGCTCTTATCTTCCCAGTAGGTGAAAATCGAGTGCTCAGTTCTGTCTGGACAATCTCTCCCAACACACACATGCACATGCATAACACCTTTTTTGGCCAGGGGAGGATTTCATCAGAAATCTCTCTTTCAAATCTCCTTTTCTCATCCCCTGCTTTACTCAGAGAAAACGTGTGAGTAAAAGCCGGTGGGTCAACGGTGCCTTGCTCCATGGAGTGGGCTCCTCTGGAGTCCAGTCTGCCACACCAGCACACGAGCTGTCAGTACACATTTATTAAAACCGTGTTGGGATCCAACCGCTCCTGCAGTTCCACCAAGGATGGAAGTAGTCATGGGTCTATTTTTTTTTCCTATAAAAGTCTCGTGACATTATGGATTTAGGGTCACTTAAAGCTAAGCTAGGTTCATTCCTATCCTTAGCTCTCTGAAGTCTTTCTTAAAAACTATTATCTTGCAGCTTATCTGCCTTATTTTGGTTGTTATGTAGAAATAATGATCTCTTAGGACTTTCTACATCCAATTTCTATGCAGAATTCATAAGCACTTTATTAAGACAAATAATCTACTAATCATCATTTAATTTACCTTTACTTACAAACCAAAAAATACAAAAACAGTTTAAGGGATTCACTATGACAGAAAGATCATTAATTTACCCAAAGTTACAGTTTTAATTTTTGACTACCATTATCTATGGCAGTCAGTTACCACTCAGTTAAAAACTGCATTCCTTAGAAAATAATTTAAAAGGCCAGATTTCTCAAAAATTTTGCTTTCTGTTACTTGGGTGGGGGCTGTTTGTTCTCCTGTGTCCATTATTTCCAGGAGGATACAAGGATAAGTTACATCGCTTTTCTATCTGTGGCAACGGACACAACAAAGACTACTAAGTACATATTTCATTTTGCAAATGTTTTGAATTTCTAAGTTTATCTAAAAGTTTTCCTGAATGGTGTTACTGTTTAGC